TGTGTATAAGAGACAGCCACTGTTACAATAATGGCCGACGCGTGGAACAATACATTTGTAAATATTAAAAGACTAGAGACAACAGCATTTAAATAACTGTATTGTGACTATTGAACCATAGAATCAACGGCGATGGTGATGATTATATACACAACATTTTATTGCGCCAATTTCAAATAGGCCTATAATGGAAGGCCCAAAAAGTCAAGCGCAAAAATGATAATTTGGGGAAGTCATCAAAAATATTTCTGTATGTAATATTTATGAAATGTGAAAAAAAAAATGTATCTCTGTGATGTATTAATTATATTTTATGTCATTTGCCTCAATAGAGTTTGGATCTTCTACTTATTACAAGTTTTTTCACCCAAGTAGTGTATGTCAACATCGTTCAGTAGCGACTAACTCGCCAGGAAGCTGCGTGAGATGCGCTTCGCAATGTATGAGGGCGCTACAATGCAAGGCTTTCAAGTACGAAAACGGAGAATGTCACTATTATACCGGCGGTGGCAATGAATATTACGTTGCATTTCAGTTAGGTTGTAGGGAAACCCAGTAATTCTGGGATATATTTTAACTATTCTATGTTAAATCGAAAAACAGTGAATGTAATTATCACAAAAAAAACCAATACGAATCTACGTCGTGTTTTGAATTGTAGAAAGTTGACTTTAATAACAAAATGTGATTAGATAGTTATATTTCCAATCAGACTTATCCTAAACCTTATTTAATTAGGAAAAATGTCTTTAACAAAAAAACACACAACTTGTCAAATTTTGTAGTAGTAATCACATTATTTATTAAATAATAAATGACAAATTCTTGTTAAAAGACAACAACGAACTTGGAAACGGTAATAACCATTGTGTACACAGCTTGTGGATTATTTCACACGCGATACATGAACTACTGAAGGTCAATTGTGCAATAATAATTGGAAATTAAGCTGGGTTCCATGCATTATTGGCCAAAGTCAATTGGCGTCTCATTGCCTGTTTCTAATTTTCTAATAATCAACTTTCCTCGTTGGCGGCGCTGTCCAGAACCAGATCCGAGGGCATGGGATTAGCGGAAAGGTCCACTTTTCCCGGTGAGGGTTGGTAACATTTGACAGCTGTCATTTAAGTTTGTAGAAATATAGGGATTATTGCAGAGAATTGTTAATTCAGGGGGGGGGGCTATACGAACATAGCCTAAACAAAGAGTATGAAAAACAATACAGTATAAAAAATTCTTCAAATGATACATAAATAAGACCAACTTGCATTAGTTAAATTCGAAGGCAGTTTATTTGCATAGAGAATCACTCTTGACATATCATGCAATATATATCATCCAGAAAAAAAGTATCACCTGTATCTACATCAACAACACTTAGAATGCTCACACCTGTATTTATAATCTATTATAATTAACTACTCCTGAAGTAAAATTACCCCTGAAGTACATGCCCACTTTGAAACTTTCATCCAATCAAAAGGCAGGAACTTGAACAAGATGTCAATCAATATTGTATTGATTGTCACTTTCTATATTATTTTTTTTTAATTCGACTATTGCACTATGACAGAAGATTAAAATTATAAAAAGCTAGTTATTGGCTCTTTTAATTCAACTTACAAAGTGAAATAAAGTAGCCATTTAATCTGAACAGTTTACTTTTCAATCCTCTATTTGTCAATTTACATGTAATCAACAAATATTATCAGTAAATATTTATTTAAACATAAGTTTACTCGAATATACATCATGGTATTATAATTAGTGATGAGATCATACATCTGTAGAAAAATAAAAACAATCAAAAATATAATATACCAAAATTAATGTAAAAGTGAAAATAAAGTTGCCATTGATCTCAATAGTCGTTCTCAATTCTCTATTTTTCAATTTACATTGAATCAACAAATATTTTTGTAAACATAAATTTACTTGAATAGACAAATGAAGGCAACAATCAAACATTGTCTATTGATAGGCCTACTAGAGATCCTTGATCATGAGAGCCAAAAACCAGAAACTTCAATCGTCCATGATGGTCCTACATTCTTTGTATGCTTAGATGACTCTATGCAATGTCATTATATCCTAGTTCTTTGTTGTTACACAACCAATTCAAAAGCTCACAGATGCTACAGTAACCAGAAATGTGCAACCAGCATTCTGTAAATTATAGTTGCTGAAAGTTAACAAGAGCCACCTTTAAAAAAAAAAATGTTTCCATTCCCTTTTTATTCATTCTTTTAAGGGCTCATTCAAGCGAAAAACACCAACTGTATTCCGTTTATTTCACAGATTAATAGCGCCGAGCACTAGCGGGTGGTCAACAGTTTCAGCAAGTCTTAGCTTACATTAAATACCGTGTAACAAAACTACTCTGGAACTCATTCTATGTTTACTTTCTACTGCTGCTATGACCGGCCCACGTATGCACAGCGAGGCATGTGGAACAATATTTGAGCTCAACAACTTATAAACTCTGCTTTAAAATCTGTACCTAGGCTAGTTTATTCAACATTATTTCTCCAAATAATGGTAAATTTACAAATTGAATGCGTGGCTATGATACTAGCCACCTTTATGGCCCCAATGGTGATGTTATGCTGATGGATTGACTGTCCAATCCACCTTCCATTTCGTCGTGCATGTGAGGAGGCAAAGGAGAGCTGTAATCTGGCCTGGGCTGTAATGCTACTGAATTACGCGCGCTGGACTGTGGACAAAACTTCTGGAAAAACAATTAAGGTTGATTTATCGCGGATAATGCAGATTGTAAGGTAATTAGGATAGTGTCCGAGTGGTTTAGGAAAGTGTGTACAGGTGACTCAACTGGTAAATTGCACAGACATATTTTTGCTTGAAAAACGCATTTTTCTGACTTTCACAAGCCAACCAGAAATCCATGCAGAAATCCAAACATGTTAATAAACCACTGAATATCATCCTTGTGCACCTTGACCGGGCCAAGGACTAGATATACAACGAAGAGAGGCATGGTCAGCTTTGTCAAGAAAAAAAAAAGGGGTCATCACCACCTTTATTTCATAAACCAGACTACTGTATCAACATGTCCATTTTTAGTTGGTTTACTAGAATCTAGATACTGTATTACGCCCTCTATTGACAACAAACTGTTCAGTTCAAAATGCAGTTCTGATACAAACACAAAAAAAAGTGGATTACAGGAAGATTGTTGCAGAATCATAATCTGAAGCTTCAATAAAAACATTATGTAACATTAATGTTCTGTATAAGATGTTTTAAAATATTTAAAAAAAAGTTATTATACATTAATAAATGTTTCATCACACAGAAATTATCCAGTAAATTATAATCAGTATTAAAACATATATCTTGTTAAAAAATATATCAGCCATTTCAAACCCAAGTAATTTACTATGTACAGTACACATTTAAACACATGGAATGCAGACTGCACAAAAACACTGAACAAAATCACGACACTGTAATTTTAGATAGCATCATGTTACTGTACAAAAATAAATAGCTTGTAAAAATGCTCAAAAATATGATATATCAAAATAAATGTATAAAGAAAAGTACAGTATTTGCAATAATTCACTGAAAACTCAATCTTAAAGAAAATTTCACTTTAAACAACCACTTTTTTTTGCATGTGCTCATGCATTTTAGACACACTAAATAAAATTACATTAAATAGTAATGTACCTTGCAAAAGCAAAAACTGATATATGATCTCATTATACTACTTAAAAAAAAACGGAATACTCATTTGATTATATGCTTTTGAGCAATTAGGCTGTATCTAGGGTTAAATGAAGGGCAATTTAGAGTAGAAGGGAAGCACCTGCTTTGAACAATGAAGAGCATATCATCAAGGCACATAAGGTCATAATCTTGCAGGTGTACCAGTCTGCTGGTAGAATAGAACATATGCTTGGGATGACTTGATGCTTGTGTCGGACACTTCATCCACCCTGAGAAAATAGCAAAAAATATTTGAAAAAAGTTTTAAAAACAGTTTAATGTTTGAATAAACTAATGAGTGTAGCCATAACTAGGTAGTTACAATGCTTGCCCTCCAAACACAATACACAATTTACAGTATGATGAGATTTGAAAGGGATTACGTTAAGACCAAGGTGAATGTAGAGATGTAGCTGGGGATGTATAATAGTTAGCATGATGGCAGGGCCCATAAGAACAGTCATGAGGAATGGAGAAGCACAGCATCTGGGCCCAAGAAGCAACTTTCTGGGGGGGGGGGGAGAAGTCTCCAGAAGCTATATACTTGTAGATGTCTACTTCAAATACTTGTAAGAGTACTGAGAGTTCTTAAAATTCAATACTCTACCTAAGGCACATTTCCTGGAAGAGGAGTAAAATAGTAAAATAAGATGCGAGATTTGTTGTAAATCAAAGTTCATGAGGGTGATGCATCCAGTAAGATTGATCGTTTTGTACCAGCCCTCTATGTTTTGCTTTATGGGCTTCATTTAAAGAGTAAAGTTTTTATTTGTTGTGAAAAAACAAAATGGACTCTATAGCCCAGGAAACTAACCACCACCAAGCCATACCTTTATATTAATGTGATGTGAAGCTAGTGGATGATAATATATAAAAAATATAAATTATATTTTTGAGACAATGCATTTTCTCCTTACACCGTAATGTCCAATAGAGTACTACAGTGTTACGTCGTGATACCGCGTGATACTACTCCGTTGTTATCGTTGCAAAAAGCGTTCAACCGGGCACCATTTTCTCCACTGACAAACCATTGATCCCAATTTCTAACATAATTATTAAGATGTTGTATCTTACTTTTTCTTTGTAAATTTTAATTGATGATTAAATGTGTGTTCGATAACTAACATAATGCGAGCTTTCGTGTTTTTCGTACATTTTAATGTAAAATATTAGATTTCAAAATGCCTAATCCAGAAATCCTATGAAGTCTTTCAGGCATAATGAACGGTAACCACCATCTGTTGACAACAGAGAGCGCCACCTAGCGCCGTGACGACACGACTGTGGTACTCTATATAGCCCCTGCCATCTAAACCTAAAAACTGGTTAACGTACCTTGTGTCGTCATAGCAATACCATTTCTTTTGGATAGTGTGCTTAGCATGAGCGATGTAGTGGCCACCGTAAGTGAAACCAGAATGGTTTGACGTAGCAATAAGATCGTACCTGTGTGGTGTGTTGCCTGAAAAAATGATCACCAAACAAGCGGGAATAAATGATAAGTTAAAACTAAAAACAAATAATAATCAGTCAGTCATAATTCATAACTGCATTTTTCTCAATTTCGAGATGGTAGACATCAAACAAAAATTCTTCATGTACAAATGTTATATATCATTTAGAAAAAAAAAAAATATGAGCAATGATCAGATACAAGAATAACACAGACATAATAATATATTCTACTTACAGGATTTGCTTGCAAAAGGACCCAAGTCTAAATTACTAACAGGAAAATCTACAAAATTGGACAGCTTTGAATATCCAGAAAAACGCTTTAAATCTGATAGGTGGTCAAAGAAATACAAAAATTATGATGAGTAAAACATACTGAGTACTGTATAAATGGCAGATCAAAAGGGTGGTGAAATGAGCATGTACTTTCACCCCCACCTCCCCCCAACACATTACCTCTCCCCACAGAAACAAAAAATATTTCTAAGCATGTAATCATTTACTTAAAAATATAAAGTCTATTAAAAGGGCTATTAAGGCTATAGGAAAAGGAAATACTTTAAAGGAAAAGGAAGCCTTTACACTTGGACTGTAAGTTCTAGATTGACATTTTGACGATTTTGGGCATTTCTTTGGCAGAAACCATCATCAAATTGTTAAAAAAAATTTATTTTAACATTAAAAATGGAGAAAATAACTGCACATCATGATGTATAGATATATAAAGATTAGTCTAGAGCAATAAAATAGATTTCCAAAATTTCCACATTCCAGCATGTTTTGGCCATTATCTCAGAAACAGGATTTGCGACAAGTGACTGGTTTGGTTTGTCTTTGCAACATATGCTGTTTGGTGCTGAACATGTTTTCGACGCCAGCTCTACGATACATATGTACAGTATGTGCAGTACATTACATGAATTATTTGGAATAAAACTGGGTCATGCTAAATTAGCTGCACAACTAGGAATTGCACGTTTTGTATTAGTAGTTCAGTATCTAATGGTACAGTATACCATTGTGCCACATTTATGGACTGAGTTCTGGTGGCCAATGAGTGCTTAACCATGGATATCCTTTATTTTTTGTTCAGTTCAGCGTTGGTTGCCTTGTGGTTCATCAAAGAGTATAGAACTGCCAGAGGTCCGACTGTCAGGGTTTCGTTGGAATGTAATCCTATCTCAAAAAGTTATGCCACGAAGGAGTACGTCCTTCAAAAGAACGTAAAAGGCGTTTGTATTGAACACATCCTGCATGTCAATAGAACGTATGTTAGAGTTTCGAACAAATGACTTTACGTTCTTTTGAATGACACGCCCCCTTCGTGGCAGTACTTTTTTAACGTTCCACCGCCTGCATACAAAATAATGGCATTCAAACCTCTTGCAGTTCTATAGTCCTTGGTTTCATCTAGACAGCTCATGTATTTTAATATATCCATCCATCCAAGCATTACTTTACGGGAAAAAAAAACAAAAAAAAAAAAACATTCTATATTTATAAGTTATGATTTTTATAGTACGGTACATATATACCGGAAGGATACGTATTACAAGTATCTTTGGAAATCGCTGAATGGAGAAAGACTTGAGGCATTTCCTTTTCATTTTACATTTGCTACACATCTGTGAAGAAAAAAAAAATAAAATAAATACATATTTAAAATTTACGTTGTTTGCATAGATTTAAAAAGATTAAAAGCTATATAAGACAAATGATAAATCTACTTACGTTTCCCACCACAATGGCATGGATTTATATACTTAAAGTATGTATTATACTTTCTTATCAGAGATTAATCAGTGGACCTTTCGGTCTACAGAATCTAATATGCAATCAGTAGTGTACAGTTTAGGATAAAAATATAATATTGGCGATAAAATTATGATGTCACAATTTGACATAAAATAATAATTATTATCTATATACGATAAATGTACTATAGTTTAATTAACAATCATACCGGTCTTTCTTCGCCCTCCAAGACTTCCTGTTTTGTGAACTCCTTCAAGCAATCAATTAATGTAGCATCACGTTTATTCTAAAAAGAAAATCAAGTAAATAAATATGATTAACTAGAAATCAAGTTTTTTTTTTAAATAGGTTTGATGTTTTGGTCTTTACTAAATGCCTTTTTTCTTCAATTTAATTTATATAGTGACAGTACAAAATCTTAAAATGTGAGGTATACAATTCTATTAGTCAATGAGGCCTCAATGTGTAACTTACCCTTGGGATTGGGAGGGACAAGTCCCAAAATGGGTCGAAGGTGACGGAACAATTTTGGCATTCACTGCACTCTAAAATACTCTTAAGCTGACCAACAAATAAGTTTGAAATGAAAGATGACTCCCTGCCAAGGTAAATATTCCAGGCTTTCTTGGCTTTCTCTTCCTCACTAAATAAAAGTACAATAGAATATTTTTTTTAAGTGTGCAAAAAAATTAGGATACTGTATGTTATTAACAATAAAAACAGCAACAATAATAGTATAATAAAAATAATAGTGGTGATGATAATGAGAATGACTGTTTCGATCAGCAATCTAACAACCAAGGCTCTGAGGTCATGAAATCAGGCAGATATCAGAGCAAGTATTTGTTGGAGTTTAGCAAGTTGGGATATGAAAATAGTTTTAAGTGAACATTACAAAGAGCTGTATTTTAGAACAGAATTCTGCCAACTTTAAGACTGGCAACCCGGTTGGGAAATTTGAAATTGAGCTAGTACCCACTGACCCCTAGTGCATTATGCACAAGTTGGGAAGTACTAGCCTATAATGTGTTTATGCAACACGTTTCATGTCAGAGTATTATACCAGCCCTGAATTTACGACAGTTTTTTTTAATAAACAGACTGATTCTTTTTTATGATTTCTGTGAATCCAAAAAAAAATCCAAGGCTGAAAAATCCAAGACTGTTCCATTTATTTCGAAGGGGTATTCCGTTTGGGAACAATAGCAATTAGTCGGTTTATCCAGGTAAGTATTCACGAAATAGACAGAAAAATTCTTTTTTATGACTTCTGTGAATTTTGTGTCAAAATATTTTGGTGACTCTCTGGTGGTCACGACCTATAGTTTGGGAACACTGCTTTAGAAGACGGACAAGCTTACCTAAGGTTGTCCTCTATTTTTATGTATTTTGGGCGTCTCTTCACTGAGTTTGTGTCGTCATGTAAAGCTTCCAATAAATAACGTAAAAACTCTTGTGAGTCATGCTGACTGAAATACAAAGAAAATTAATAAAGAATAAGTGTGAAAATAGAAAAAATAAACAATTGAAGGTTTAAAAATGTTGCAGTTTTTCATAAGTCATATGGGACGCATTGTACACTCACAAAAATAATATGGCTAACAAATCTATATATATGAATATATATCTATATATAATCTATATTTATCTAAAATCTATATATATGAATATATGTATAAGCACTTGATGATGCAACACTGTCTGTTATGGGCCTTTCCAAAGTGTCAATCAAACTTAAAATCTAGGCAATCAGAAGAGTGCCAGGAATATGCGCGTGTCCAACAAACACGTGTTGCATGACGAAAGCAGGACGTAGAACGTAATGACGTCACTAAAAGTCATCTGCACATGCGAGAACTTTAAGGTTATCTCGTCGAGTAGATTCTGGAACGCTATTTAGCCAAATCTACGCATGCAAAGAACGTAGGACGCCATGTAGGACGGTCACGCATGAGTGATTCCGTTCTAGCGTCGCGTCGTTGCACAAATTGAAAGCTCCCTATTATCAAAGGGGCGGGGCTTAGCAGAAAGGTCTGTTTTCGGTGGCATTTTAAGTACATTGTATCTGAAAGCGCTACTGGTTTTAAAGATAAGAATAATCTCTCAGTTAAAAACTTCTACCATTGCTTACCGTGCTCCTCTGTACTGGTCAAAATAAGAATCTAAGCACTCTTTGAATTTCTTTGGAGAAAATGATGTTCTAGTACTGGTCTCTGGTGCCCATAGGTTTTTCATGACATATGCAAATGCTATAAAAATTAAAGAAGCAATAAACATTTACTAAAAAATATTTTTTTTCTAAATCTTGCCAACAACACCAGATTTGTACAAATAAAATGGATCTGTAGTTATGAAGAATTTCTGATAAATTATTGAATTTAAAAATTTGTTTAAAGCATGTACATACTTCAATCAGTTGCAAAAATATAGTAAAATATAATTTAAAGTACTGGTATTTATAAATTAAATACAATATTAATATTAATATAGAACACCATATCAACAAGACTTATATGCACTTTACATTATTACAGTACCCTGGTATAATTGGATCAAACACTATGTAAAACACGCTCATTAATTTAGCACATTGGTGAATCCTACCGGGATACCCACTTATACTCCTGGGAAAGGCGACAAACTGTAGTGTCTTGGACAAGGACAAAAGCAAAATACACAAGAAGTTTGCAGACACAACCTAAATGTTGCGAGTCTCAACTACAACACTGCATCAAACGCTAGCACTAAGCTTTAGCAGAAAAAAACAATATTTTACCTTTTATAAGCTTGCCCTTTGTTCTACTACTACTGTCATTAATATCAAGAATGTAGTTTTCCTTGATAATGTAATCTTGAAGAAGGTTGCAGTTCCCAAGGCATTGGAGAACAGAATTCATAAAACACTAGATTTATTGTAAAGAAAAATACGATCAGTAATAATAATATTAAGAATGTGTTGTCAGTTAAACAATAACATGACCAACTATTAATGCATATGAAGAGGAAAATAATGTGAAAAATATATTTAATGTTTAAATTTTTACAACACTAAAAATGCCTGGCAGCCAATTTTAAGATCTCTGTAATAAACTTTGTAAATAAAGGAAAATTTAATTGTTTTTATAATAATTAAAAGTTGAAAATTTACTGTATTTTAAACTATTGTAAAGCAAGCAATTCAATGTTGTTTTCATAAATTGAAATTTAGAAATTTTAATCAAAGATGACATTACCAAATATATCTTTAAAAATATTTGTATTAGAACTTCCAATACAAAATAAAATGGAAGTAAAACATTTTAAAAATTATACAGCGTAAATGAAACTAATTCTACAAAAACTTGGAAAGGTTTCACCAAAGGAGTAACATTTTTAATGATTTTATTATTTGTACTCAAAAAATGGAAACAAGAATTCTGTATAAAAAAATACTGTAGTATGTGCACCCTCAATATGAGAACCGTCTAATTCCGAGACCCCTCTAATTTGAGAAAACTTTTTCAAAAAACCAAATAGCAATCCTTACGGTAATATTTTAACAAAAATCTAACCCTCTATTTAAGACCAAACCCAAGACCTCCCCAAATTTTCAGACCACAAAAAGAGGTTTCAAATTGGAGTGCAAAATCTATGTATGTATTCTTGAACTTACAGTGTTGCCAATGTTGGTAAGACCAATACGCCCTCGTAAATCCTTGTTTACCTGACCAAACCCCTACACAACAAGAAAAATTCATCAAGTTTAAGGTTTATTTATTTGATTTAAAACACAGTATTCATTTTCATTTTCAAAAAGTTTTGACAGAAATTTGAAAATAGACATACAAAATATGACTTACTGATCCAACAAAAGCATGGTTGGTTGGAAGACTAGAAGAGCGATTGGAGAACGAATTATCAGATTCACTTCCTCTCCTGACACGTGAAGAAGAACGTGAGCCCTCACCATACATGGTACTTAGGCTTTGAGAGCGTTCTCTTGAAAAACTGTATGTCGATTGATACCCAGAATTCCTAAAACTTGACTTCCGAGTCAGCAATGTATTCGTCCCACTCGATTCAGGTAGTACCTTGGAATGTGAATTTCTATCTTGTATTCCATTGTAAGTACTATTGCTTTTTCCTCCTATAGGCGTTGAACTAGACGTCCTCTCCGTGGGAGAAAGCAAAGAAACCCTTGATTTTTCCAAAGTATTCTTTACATTTCCAAATATTGATTTGTCATACAAGGAGCTTGAAATGTTGCTGCCATTTCTAAGTGAAGATGCAGATAAATCTCTTCTGGAATCTGCTGCGGTTAATGCCTTGGAGTATGATAGAGGATAGCTTCCAACAGGGCTTGAGGCCCGACTCTTTAAGTAGTTACTATTTTCATAGTCAGTATGGACAGCTTTTACTGGGCCATTAGAGGTAATATTTGATTTGCTACTTGAGCTTTTTATCCTGTAGCTGAACTTTTTGCCTTCACGATTTAATGGTCCTGGTCCTGGAGGAAGCTTTCGTTGGGCTACCATATTTGGCGTCTGGCCCTGGCGACGAGATAACATTGGTGACTGGCGTGACATGGCTGCCCCTCATATCCAGTCCCTTAATGGGTGAATCAACACCCAATATCCCAATATGATAGTCTTTAACAACAATAAATTTAAAATTGGCAAGCTAAAGCCTAGGATTACATTGCTTCACCAATTATGTTCCAATTTTTGCTGTTATATATCTGAAAGAAGAAAAATAAATTTATCAAAATTATTAACTATCTGTTAAATAATATATTATTAGGCATACAGTAGTACAAGTTCAGTGAAGAAGATAATTGTTGAGTGGGTGAGTGTGAGAAGAGGCACCGAGGCGTGACTTGGTAGGTCTAGGCCTAGGCCCTAGGTCTGCTATAATAATTTAATAATAATAATAATAATAATAACAAAATCAATAATGATGACGATGATGACAATGATGAGAATACAGATGCAAAACTTTATTAACCTGTCAACCCGCACGCATTCGCCGTAAGTCTTACGCATTTCAATAAAATCTTACGGTGTCGCAAACACCGGCAAAACTTACACTTATCCTAAAATTTGAGTAAATTTTGTTTCTTTTTCAATTTGTAATGAATTTTCATAAAAAGGGAAGATGCCTTTCGTTATCTTAAACTATCTTTCAATAACCAATGTATCTTGAGATCATTATAAACTCACTAATATCGAGATATGCCATTTAAGTTAAAGCGTCCAGGGGCCTTTGGCCGGAAGCCCTTCGACCGGGAACCTTTAGTTTTAGCAGCCCCCTGGCCCTGCTGAGTGAGCCACTTCATCATGCCTTCGGCACTCATTATGTGTCACCGGATCTTACTCTTTCTTTGAAATTTCTCAAGGTTGACTGGTGTGTATAGGACAAATGGCTAGGGCTAGGCCAGGCCTAGACCGGGCCTGTGCTGTGGGTAGGCCTAGCTACTACACTAACTAGGCCTAGCCTAGCTTTCCACTCACACAACTACTACTACTAGGCCTAGGCCTCCTAGGGGCCTAGAGAGTACTAAAACTAGACTAGGCCTAGGCCTAGACCCTAGCTAGGCCCTAGCCTAGCTAAGCTAGGCCTATTATTATACAGAAACATGTCATTGACGACATGGAACCACGCTTAAATTACAATCTTTTTTTAATCTAATGTTAACTCATCATTGTTCTAAATGTGTTATAATAACACGTACCTCAATCCGTAATAAACAATACAGCGTTTTATAATGACGTACAGTATAACTGTTAATGATGGCCAGGTATAATGATGGCGGCTCTCTTATGTCACGTGATGCAGCCATTGTCATGACGATATTCATTATCCCTATTTTATTCTGTAAATATAGCAAGTTATAAACTTGCAGTATTGCTAAATCAGTGCTAGACTCTGCACACACAAAATGATTTTAATGTAGATTTAAAAAATCTATGACAAGTTTTGACGTCTTCTTTGGCAGCCATATAATTCAAAATGACTGCTTGTAGATATTGTTACATCACTACTAGTGGCCTACAAATAAGGGGGTGGGAAGGGGTAAAGTACGGTAAGAAAGCAAATTAATTTCAATAAAGTTCACTTAGCTGTATTGGTAAAAAAACAAAATGGTTCAACTTATATATTATATGTTTATCAAAGCTACTGTTACTGCTAATTATTAGCCAATATCGTTTTCACTATGCTAAGAATGTTATAAATTCATAAATTAACAAATGGATATGTATGGTACTGTATATCGTAGACTGTGTATATCGTAACACTCAGCAGACTTCTTATTGACCTTAATAACGTCAATAACAGATTAATACAATAAAATATTATATTATTTACATTATTAACAATTCTTATATACTTAACCTCAATTGCAATCTCAAAAATCGTTTAGATTGGATAAAATGCAGTGTGCAATTATGAAACACAAAACCAAAAACAAAAAACAAAAAAAAAAACTTCTACTAATCTACACAAAAAACATTTGTGCAGAGTCACTGCTATCAACAGAACTTTCTTATGAGAAAAAATATATATCAAAAACCACCAAAAATAAACGAAGAAAAGCAGTTTAACACTTTCATTCGTTTAATGCATTATACATGTAGGCCTGCACAAAATTTACCAATCCTACATAAATCATTATTTTGAATTTCTTTTTATTTTTACAAATTGTGTGGTTTTTTTTTTTTTTTTTTTTTTTTTTTTTTTTTTTTTTTTTTTGCGAGGTAGTGGATTGGCTTTTTTAAATATAATTTCCTAAAAATCATTCAGTGTCGAAACACTTGTTTTCTGCGTTGACCTTGCAGCTAGAATTAAGTTATACAAAATCAGTAGTGGGGCCTATATTCCTACCACGGCAGCTTTAAATAAATATATAATAATTAATAATGATTAATTGAGGACATGTGGTCACTGAATTTCGAGTCTTAATTGATTAAATAGCGCTAGGCATGTGACTCATTAAAACGATGTTCCTTATCTTGTCGTGGCGTATCTAGGGGGTCCTCCCGCGCAGTAGCTCGCCTGCGCCTCCCAAGTGCTCCCCCCCCCCGTTGAAAACGGTCCCATGCAAAACATCACACTCGTAGCACTTAATCATCGTCAGCAATTCACTAAAAAACACACGTCCACCACTCATCCTTATCTTTTCATTTTTATTACTTTCAAAATACGGTGGGCATCACTAACATTTAGTATTCAAACTATCAGATAATTTTATAAAAGTGGAAGTATAACTTAGGAAAGAGTAACATGGACTCGTGGTTCTTGATCAGTTACTGTACTTAAGTGTTGCCAAAGGAAAGTCGGAAAAGGTCGATGAACTTTCAAAACGCTGAAATTATGCTTATTTTGAATTAAAATTGGTGCAATGCTCTGCATTAAAGAAAATTGCCAAGGAGTAAATTCAAGAAAGGATTATTTTATTTTTATACCTCCTTGATTTGAATGTTATTGATATAGTACTATCCATAGTTTTTGGTGACTCTAATGGGGTAGGTTATTATTAGAGGGGTTATATCGGTGTTTAATATTAGAAGTTTTACATTTAGCGAAATAAAACTCTACACAAGATAGTATATTACATACTCCAAGTATCGAAATGTACGCCATCGTGTCGAGATTCAATATTTCAACATTAATTAAATTAATGATGATGACATAATTATTATGTCATCATCCGAAAAACTCTACACTTCCTGCACATCATTTGTCTGCTCCACTGTATGGCTCAAGATCGTATAGCGCCGCTAATACGATATTTGGTTACTGTAGATCCCCGTAGTTTCTTCAGCTGGTAAGACTATTCCATTATAGTAATGAAATAAAGTTTTAAAAAAAGACCAAATATGAACACAATTATTGAAAGTTTCTATACTACTTAAATAAAAAAATATAATATTTTATTACTTCAGATAATATTATGAATAATCTGTTTTTTAAACCTAAGTTGTGTGCTGTTCTACTGAGAATCGGCGCCCCTAAGCTGAAATGGGGCGTGCTACTTTCCCAATGATACGGCCCGGTGGCTCGTTCACGTATCCGCACTCATCAATTCGATCTTTCAATACGTCAATATTAATTGACGAGAACACAACGAGGAAGTCGCTCATCAACAAACGGATGTTGAAAGACGTTTCGATTTATTTTTAAAACAGAAAGCATATAGGTTGGTAGGTTTTTAACTTTAAACTGATATATAAGCCACAACACTGGTTCAGCTAGACCTAAATTTTAAGATAGACTGGGCCTCGGCCAGACCAGTAAGCAGTAGCCTAGGTAGGCCTAGCCGTACCTCCTAGACTAGCTAGACAAATACAGTTGTTTTGCCAGGCTTTGGGCTTCAAGTCAACTCGGCCCTTAACCCACGAATACAGATCATTTCGGTCGCGGTTCACAGTCACGGTATGGAACGCCGATGTACAAGCTAGCTTATTTAGCAAGTAAAGTAAGTAAAGTAAATTCGGTAGTGTTCTAAATAAATTTTATGTAGGACCTAAATTATTAAGGTGACAGGAGTGCTCCGCCGACAAAAAGTTTTTACTTAACAATTTATAATTTTAAACTAGGTATAAAAAAATCAATCTTAAATATAAATAAACCACATTTTAAACATATTTTGTACATACGTTTTTATTTTAACAATATATTTTAAGTATTTATAATTTAGACGGTATATTTGCAATACTTTTTTCCCTTTATTTTCCTCTAGTCTAATATTACATTATAATATTGTTAACTGTTTCCCATCCACATAGATCATAAAAGGCTGTTTCTGTAAAAAGAAAATACTGTAATACCAATTGATGCTGAAATAAACTGTATTAAAATTAGTCAAAAATAGTAAAATAAAAATGACTGTTTTCGTGTTTAACAAACGGCAGGCAGGCCTAGGCCTATACTGCTTTGGATATCTTATTATACATTCGCGGTTGCGCCCTCGGCGCTCCATACACCGCAACCGAAATGCATAATCAAAATAGCGCAACCGAAATGCAGGCGCGACCGAAATGATCGGATCATACCGACTGCCCTTCACCAACTCGGCCCTTAACCGACTCGGCCCTTAACCAACTCGGCCTATACACCAACTCGGCCCTTAAATTTTTTTTTTTTTAAATATATATTTAGTTCGGTTTAATTCTTGCTTTTCCATCCTGACATAGAGAAAGAAAATAGATCCAGCGTTGGGCCCACGATTGTATAAATACAAACATTGAAAACATTACTATACATAGCACCATAAAATTTACAATCAATGCCAATAATTCATACATGCGTCCTCGTCACGGCCCTGGTTAACGCTAATTCTACCACCAGTACACCTGTGGACAAATGACAAGATTAACAAATAACATTAAAATACGTCAGAAGGCTATGGTCCGAGTTGGCGAAGGGCCGAGTTGACCTGCACCACTTTGCGCTTTTTTAGCATGCCTTGCGAAGTGCAAGGATTGATTACCTATACTAGACAGTAGTGACAGTATTAGCAGTAGCAGGATTCAGCAGAGAATTAGTAGTATAGGTGTAGGTCCCCTAGTATATTGGACCAACCCGACTAACAAACAACTGGAGTTGTTTTTTAGGCCACCGGCGGCTAACCTATTCCTCTGCATGACTCGTCCACAGGAGTTGATGACATTTTTTTTATACAGCTGCTATTGTTATGTTAAATTATTCTTAAACCAATTTCTAATTCTGTTATTGTATGTGTATGGCTATTAACGTCCAATAATTGATTAAGCCTTACTACTAATGCCGGGCATATGACTGTCGCACAACGAATCCAACTCCGCTCCCTTTGAGCGATAGATGACGTTACAGTATGCCGTCTGCTGATTGTAGGTAGCAGTCTGAACGATTCATTTTGAGTGCGTCGTCACGCTGCATTCTTCATAGGAATCGCGTCAGCCGACGACCATCATGCACAGTGAGTGCCTGGCTTAAGTTCCTAACTTAAATTGTTGAAGTTTACTGGGCTTGCACCCCGCCCCCACCAGAGCCCTCCAAAGAAGTTCAGAGGGACCCTATATCTTACCCACTTATCCTCTCATTGCAACATCGCCCAACCCCGTTGGACAAATTCTGGCACCACCAATGTATCAAACAAACAACAAAATAAACAAAATAAGCAGACAAAAAAACATAGAAATCAAAAGCATGCTCAAAATGAAAATATTTAATGTAATGCAAAATTATACTACAGTGCACCCTCCAATTCGAGATCCCAGGCTAATTCAAGACCACTTTTTCAATTATCATAATTGTCATTTCATAAAATCTAACTTTCTAAGTGGAGACCAAACCAGAGACCATCCCAAATTTTCAGGTCTCAATGGTGGTGTCGAATTGGAGGGCACACTGGATAAGTAATATTGAGCTTTCGATAGGACGTAGAACCTTATGATGTCACTAAAAGTCATCTGCGCATGCCAGAACGTTAATGTCACCTTGTCGAGTAGATTCTGGAACACAATTTGGCCAAATCTACGTACGCAGAAAACGTAGGACGGTAGGTAGGATGGTCAAGCATGAGTGATTCCGTTCTAGCGTCGCGTTTTCGCACAAATTGAAAACTCCCTAATGTTTGTGTATCGTGTACACTGGATACCATATGCCTAAATTGTATACAGTGGAAAAATTGGAAATAGGCATCAAATATATCAATATATCATAATGCATTGAATAGGCAAATACTTATGATGTTTGATTTTTTTTTTAGTTTCAGAATGGCTCAACCCCCAACAAACCCTTATTACCAAGAACAACATCCACCTCTGAATCCGTATCCCCAGCCACCACCCTACTCAGCCTCACAACCAGATCCAAGTAAAGGAGCTCACTACCAACTGCCTCCTCCACATTATACTCAGCAACCAGTGCAGAATGTTACCTATGTCAGAAAAGGCCCTGCTCCTCCAGCTCAGAAGGTGAGAGGGAATATTCTTTATTCTTTATAATACTACAATCTGTAAAATCTATTTTGTTTGTTTACATTATAATAGTCCCCATGTCATCAACTTTCAATAACAATCACATTTTCCTGATGCAAAACACCATGAATTTCCAGTGACAGATCCAGGAATTTGAATTAGAGGGGGCCCAGGAAGGGAATTTAACAAATGGAGAGCCCTATCCACCTCAGTCTCACCATGGTTGGGGAAAGTTGGGGCTGATGTAAGAAAATTTACGATTATGGCACCTCTAGATGTCCAGAAATGACACTCTCGGATTTACAACTTGGATATAATTTTCTTTTTTCTCCAAATTTTTACAATTGTGAAAAATTTGGGGGGTGGGGATGCAAGCCCCTTGAATCCATCACTGATCTCAGGAATATTAACACTTTGTTTACAGTTAAATTAAATATGTAATCAGGGCTCTATACATAAACAATTATCACACTAAAACAATGATTTTATTAGTACTTTCACACTTGTATAGTAAAGAGATGAATTCTGTATGACAAGTTCTCTACATGCAGATTAGGTCAGTGTTATTCATAAAAATGGACATACTTTATGAATATTCATTAAGATCTATTAAGACTTTTGTGGTTATATTTAGTTAATACATAAGAATAATAATAATTTGATACTTATTAGTGGACATTACATTTAATTAATGACTGAAGCAATATTAAGATCAAACACATTTTACAGACCTTTAAGTAATTATTTATTTTTATTGTTGTTAATGTTCGTAATTTGTTATTAGAAGAGGAGACCCCAGTCAGAACTCGAGGTAAGACAGCAAGGACAAACCCAAAGTTTGTTCCTTTTACATAAACCTTATTACGGTTGTTCCCAAAAGCCTCTTTGTTAAAATTGGTTTAGCTAAACCCCTTATCATGCCTCAATAACCTGGTGAACCCTCCTCATTCCTCTCTCCAAATAGCTAAGCAAAGAGAGATCTGTGCAACAGAACAACTGTTGGTGAAATTTTTTTTATTAAAATTTTCTTAAAGATACAAATGTCCTCCTGTAGCTGCAGATAAGGGTGTTTCATTTTTTTACGCTTGCAGCAAGTGTACTTGAATACCTTCTCTTTCTATGCTCTTTAATTTTACTGCCTACAAAACCCATTATTTTAAATATTTTATTTTCACTAGGTCATTCTTTTTTATATTTATAAAACAGTAATAAAATTTGATAATTAAAAAAAAAAAATTATTATGTATGTGTTTAAAAATATTTATGGCTCTGCTCATTTCCTTTACAATATTCCATACAATTGATAAATTGGAAAACAGAACATTAGATGATGATGATGATGTAGAATATTTATTTTGCAGTCATCTTTAGGTGGTTTGTTTAAATCTTTGGAGCGTGGAGCAACCAGTGTTATGAACTCTGCAGAGAAGTCCATCAATCGGTCCATTGATCATCACTCTACCAGTCCCACATTGGTAAGTGTTCGATATTATTATGGGAGCAGGGGTTGAAAGAATGTACCAACTGGGGTATGGGTGATGCCTAGAATCCCTGTCAAGGGTGGGCAGAGCTGGTAGGATTGAAGCTTAGATGGTGGTTTTGAAGCCATTTATTAATTTCAGTCTTAAGAAAAGTAGGACTATCTATGCTAGAAAATAATAACCTTTGTATTATTTTGTATTATATTACTTTCATAATTTTTCTGATTTGCAGGGGGTAGGAGGGAGGGTACTTATGCGTCTATTGCACATCCTGGATACAGGCCTGTACTTTTCTACACTTATAGTTCTGTTTTACCCTTGTAGGCTAAGTTTGCATCAGGTAATGTTATTTCACTGATCAGTAAGAATACAAGACAGTACTTGAGGATATTACCAAATGGAGGAATCGATGCCTTGGGTCAGCCTAATGATCCTGCATGTAAGTTGTCAATGTTTCCTGTATTATATGATTCTAAATATACAAAAGAAACAATTTGAGAAAAACAAATAAAATTTGAAGAAATCATTAACATTAACCGAAAGGTCCACTGATTAATCTCAGATAAGAAAGTATAATACATACTCCAAATATTGAAATGCATGCCATCGTGTTGGGATTCAAACACGATGGCATGCATTTCAATACTTGGAGTATGTATTATACTTTCTCATTAACATTACTACTTTGAATGTTTAATAAATATGCTGTACATTGAATGTTAAATATATTTGAATTTCTTTATTTTAAAGTAGCTGATAGGAGAGAATATGAAAAGAATAAAACATTTGACATTTTTACCCAATCACAGGTCATTTCACTACCTTCAACCAAGGCCTAAATGTTGTGGTTCTGAGAAATATAGCAAACCCTGCTTTCCATTTGTCTGTGATACAGGGAATGACTGTTGGCTTGGTAGGTACACTTCTAAAGCTCTGTCAAGACTATCATATTAAATTTGACAAAAACATGCTATGGTCATGATAACATCACATCATGAATTGACAATATATAGGCGCATTATGACTATATATGGGCATACAAGTATTTGTGAAGAAAATTTGATAGTGTCAAGTCTCAGAATTTTGAATTGTGTGTAATGTAGATAGATTTATGTAGCACTTCATCAAACAAAATGCTGAAGGAATGGACTAGCTTGTTATGTAACTTCCTTTTCTCTTGATAGAATTGATCTAATTAATTTTATCAGTCATTTTAATTGTATATATGCATGAGTACTATGTCAAATTTGTAAGATACTGTGCATGTATATAAATAAGAATTGTGTATTTCATTGGAGAACGTATTATTGATATACAGTATTTACATGGAATGACAATAAAGGTGGGAAACACCCACAAAAGACAAAAAAAAAAAAAAAATAAAAAAAAATAAAAAAAAAAAAAAAAACTTCCTTTTCTCTTAAAGCCAGGCACCCACTGCATTGTACGACAGTCATACAACAAATCCAAATGCACTTCCTGTGAGCACTACATGACGCCACGCTGTCTACTGATTTTAGATGGCAGTCTGAACAGATTATCATTAAAAACGATTTATTGCACATGCATCGTGGCATTGCGTTCTCCATAGAATCGCATTAGCCCTGTCTCTTATACACATCTAGATGTGTATAAGAGACAGGTATTATACGTCTCTTATACACATCTAGATGTGTATAAGAGACAGTCATAACATATATGCTGTTTTGTATACAGTTAAACTTACGTAACTCGAATAATTTCTAAGTCAATCTTATTTTACATGCCAAACTGTTGTGTTTTCCATTAATCAACAATCTGTAAGTCAAACAATTTTTTTTTATTAAAATGCCATTTTGGATTCAACGTAGGATAAGTTCGACTGTATTGAATCTCCCTGTTAACCATACACAATACAGTAATATAACGATAATATCTTTTTCTGTTGATTTATTTATTTTATGTAACAAATCAGTTCAATAAAATGTTATTAAGCATATCAATTATTTTAGAATAAGTTATTCCAGAAGTCATAATTCAACTGAATAAACAAGAAATGTTTAAACAAAACACAACATTGGTGAAAATTACCAATGCATTAAATTATTACTGTAGATAAAATACACATTTAAAACATTGGGTACATTGCATTTAATTTGATATGTTAACAAATATCTTGATGCAATTTTAAGATATTTTCATATCGAATATTTTATAGCAACCTGTTGGATTACACGGCTGGGAAATTTAAAAGGATCAAAATTCTAAATCTAAGCAAGTAAGATTCCACCAAGTTTACTGCAAATATCTTTAAGCCAGGCTCTGGAGGCTTACATTTTTTTGATATGTTGTACAATTGATTTTTCTAAAACACAAAAAGTGTGATTGACGAAAAATTTTGGAACGGTTAATGAAATACAAGGAAGGAATATAGGACACTACTACTCTTGCATTCATTGGTTTGAAAGCTAATAACTTTACACCACACTTAACTGACTGGTGGTTGGTGGTGGGGGGGGGAAAACAAATTGAAAATGCGGAACTAAATCCCTATTCCAAAGAAAACTTAATGGTCATTTTTAATATTTTAACCCACTTAGTGGAACTAATTTGCCTATATACAGGGTCTCAAGTCTCGCTGGAGTCTGCTGGAAATCGGGACGGCCTTCCAAGCAAGCAAGCAAGAACCTCCTGGAAATTAACCCATATCCCGCAAGTTTTCACTGCTTTATTATCAATTGTCTCACAGAAATCATTGCCAATGTGTATCACAATGTGCAGCAACATGAAATTAAATGTTATGATCAGTGTCAGATTCAAGAGAGAAGCCCCGCCCCCAATTTTTTTCAAAATTAAAAAAAAAGAGAGAAAAAGAAAATCATATTCAAATTTACAGCAAATCTGAGAGTGCCATTTCCGGCCATAATCATAAATTTTCATATTGTACCTCAGCCCCAACCATGATGGGGTTGAGGTGGTATAGACCAAACATCTGTGAAAGTCCCTCTCTGCTCCCCCTATTGCGAAGTCTCGGATCTGTCACTGCAGATGTCGCGTCGGGAGAAAATTGGGCGTAGTGGGGTGTTGCTCAAAATATATCGGAAGTGGTCCAGGGGGTGAAGTCCCTCAAAGTTTGACAATTTTCTATGTAGAAAATACAGTACATATAACTTATTTGTCCCCGACGAATTGTGGTAAAGAAGGGGCAGCTCTTCCCACCGCGGAATTGACTTCTTCCAACTTAGGACCCCTGTATATGGTCAGCCCACCCCTATGAACAACAAGTACTAAATGTACTACTACTACTACTAAAATGGTAATGAAGAAACACAAGCTTTGAGTTGTAATAGAAGTTTACAGTTACTTCTTTCTGTAAAATAATTGGTTGTCATTTCACATACAACAGCACTCACCAATGGGCTGTAAGCCCCACCTCTTGGATACTGTTGCTAAGGTATGGGACCTTAAGCACCTTAAACATACGTAAACTTACATGTTTGTAAAATATTGGGATATTCCTGGCAAATCAATAACATGTTCTGATTAGTCATTAGTTGTCAATTTTGATTGACACTTCGGAAAGGTCTAATAAACAGTAGAACAATGCTCTATAAAATAATTAACCTGGATTGTGGTCTATAATTGGCAGAATTTGCCTGATGAGGACAACTTCCAACATAGATAGAGTCTATGGTCCAAGCCCCGCCATTTAGCGCTTTGAAAAATTGGGAATTTATAGCCAACTTGTGCTGTTGTTTAAGTCATTACAGAACGTATGATGGCCAAAGAAAGAATTTAAAAAATTTGCTCTTTCATCTGTGGATTCATGGACAACGGGAGGCTTAAGTCGTGGATGAGGGGGCTTAAGCCCCACAGGTGCCACCACTGTGTCACAGCGAGTGTTGATAGCTTGTGGCTGGTAGAGATTTGTAGCCCACTATAGAATGGTTTCAGAACAACTCAACTATTTTTTTAAACCATAATACTGGTTACTTGGATCTCAAATTCCAATTCTGTGGAATCCATACCATCGTAGGACAGTTGTATCTCAACAATAGAATCTTTCGTAAATTGATGATCTTAGTTTCAATTTGACATCAGATCGAATGTTTTTTGTACTTCTTATATGCAATGTATCTTGAGGTTTAATCCCTGCCTTGATTTTATCATGAAGCCTACTACCTGAACTACACAGAAGCAAGCAGGTGTCTTAGACTTGCTGGCAAAGAAACCACATTTTATAACCAGATGTCATTGACTACTTGGTTACAGAGGAAAAAACAAGGTGTCTTTACCACCTGGCAACAAAAGCCATTAGGTGTTTTGACCATCTGGTTACAGGAAAATCAACATTGCAAAACAAGTGTCTCAGATCACTACAGGGAAGCAACCAGATGTCTTGGACTACCTGTTCCCAAAGAAGCTGCATTCTTTTAAGTGTCTTGAACCACCTGGCAAAAAAAATTCGACATTTTGACCAGGTGTCACAGACCACATGGCTACTGAGTAGCCATATTTCAACAAGCTGCCTCAGTTCCACCTTGCTATGGAGAAGCCAGATCCTTGTCAGGTGACTCACACCAGAAGTCTGTTGTACTCCGACATCAATGTTGATTTTTTAATCGTCTCCCACATTCGAGCTGCATAGTGGAACCTGCGATAAAGAACAATATAGACAAATTACAATAAAATTGCAGTGCTGTAATGGCTACCATTAATGAATATAAAAAAAGACATTCTTCAATAAGGTATAATTACCAGTTCTTCTCAGTATTGCAAGAAGTTGCTATGGGTGTTCTCTGAGCACCAATGACAAGTTTGCGGAAGGCTCTAATAAGCGACTCTCGACTTGGATGACCCTGGTAACAGTTGGGAAGAATTGAAAAAAGTGGAGATTTGGCTGAAAAATAAAGAAAAAATAAATTATTGTTTGCACAAAATCTTATAATATAAATATGACCACTCTTTGATGTAGTGATAAAGTTTGTAACCAAAGACTTCAAATAAATCTTTAAAAGGTGTGAGATTTTTTACTAACTTACGTTTACTGCTAGTATCATGTAAGTGTGGCAAAAGAAAGAGGTTTATATCCAGTGGTAGGTTACTGGCATTAGCTCCTGCCATCAGTCCAGATTGTGTCAATGATATTGCACCTGTTGGATAAAAGAAATTGGCAGACATCAGTGCTTTACCAATATTTTGTTCATTATCATAACTTTGAAATAGCATTTCAGTTCCTGCTGTTACATAGGGATCGGATTCAACACCAGCGACTAAACACGGTTAAGACACCATGCTAGTTATCTGGAGAAAACAAAACAAAACAAAACATAATTTCTGTTATCATAATTATTATTTCAAAAATGATTTTCAAGAATGATGATAATATATATTTATATAAGAAATATTAATAAAACAAAAATAAATAAATAAAATAAATCCCTCTTGCATACTTTTTATACTATTCAGATCAAAATCTTCTCGTGTTGCCTTGTTCTGAACAAACACTAAAACAAAATACATGTACTGTATTAAATAACCAACAAAATAAATGAAAACCAACCAGTAAGACATCAAGATATGATGAAGTGACACAAGGTTCATATTTGACACCAAATTTTAATCATCATCATCATCGGTCTAACACCATACCTCAGTTTGGGTGCTAGGTTGATGTGTTTTTTGTTTTCGCTTTTAATTTTGCCATTTTTTCGTTGTCTTCTTACCTATTATCGAGCGCATAGAGACCTTGTTTATTTGGGCTATATAAATCTATTATTTTTATTATTATGATCTCTTCCTTAAAAATAAATGTATCACTTCACTAACATCTATTTACTTGTTTGTGCATAATCCTAACAATCAAAAACCAAACCAAACCTCTGTGGTGAATGCAAAATCATTTTATTAAAGCACACATCATCTCATCAAAGACTGCTTGCAGTGTTATATACTGATAACCATGAACACTGAAAACCAACCAATCACACATGACGATATCCATCACATGATATAAACCTACTAATGAAAATCCGGCTATTCATTATGTTTCTTACCTACATTCGGGAAGTACTCAACACCATCTTCACCATCAGAGTTTGGATTAGCAGTGGATGGTTTCAACATCTCTGCTTTCTTGATGCACTGCAGGAGTGGGATGTCCGCAAACCAGTCCTGGACAACTAGTACCACATGACACACAGTCATCAGGAAGGTGGCCAGCTGTAATGACTTCATGAACAAAGAAAGAAATTAACAATGACCATCTTAATAGTGAATAATAATTAACAGAACAAGAAAGCAGGGGTCCCAAGTCTTCCGCAATTCGCAGGAGTCTCTCGGACTTCGGGACAGTCTCCCGCAAGCAAGCAAGAATCTCCCGGAAAATAACCCATCTTTTGCAAATTTATATTGCAGGTTTTCACTCGCTTCATTATCAACTGTATCACGGAAGTCAGTGCCAATGTGTATCACTAATTGTCTTAATAAAACTCATTAACCAGATCAGTGGTGGAGTCAAGGGGGGAGGGGGTGCCAGCCCGATCAAGGGAGGGACAGCAGGCTTACAGTATTCAACATTTTAAAACAAGATGGATCTAGAGGTGCCATAATCATAAATATTTTTACCTCAGCCCCATCATAGTTGGGGCTGAGGTGGTCTACACCCTCTATCTGTGAAAGTCACTCCCTGGGCCCCTCTATTTCGAATTTCTGGGTCTGCCACTGCAGATCTCCCGGAATCAACTTCTTCCAACTTGGCACCCCTGAGAAAATGAATAAAAAAATAGCAATGGTGACAGTGTATTGTAGCATATACCTCCTTAGAGTCTGCTTTCTTAATGAGCATTTATTTATATTTTGTTAACAAATATGCATCTAATCTACTACACATCCACATTTTATACTTTTATCATCGTATACTGGGTAGCACCTTAAGGTGTTCTACCCTTCTGGTAAAATTCAAAAGAGATTTGATAGCAATTTCTACCTGTAGTACAACGAAATAAATACAAGATTTCCCTATAAGTGGAGAATTCACTTGTACAAATAAATGTCAGAAAACAAAATTTACCATAAAATCTAAATTTGGTATTTTCTTGAATTCTTATATTCTAATATAAAAATATAATTATAATAAATTATGTAAATTATGATAAGTATGGTTCCCATTATGTAATATACTAATAAAACTACACCACAAACATCTCATGCATATTAATCAGTCATGAATATTCATTACATATCTATATACACTGTATATCTATGTACAATGGAGAACCAATTTTTAAGCCACAAAGTGATCATGTCACTTATGAAAGGTGAGTGCTTACATGAGTTATCAAATGCAGTTATTGAATGGGAAATTATGCAAGCTTTTGGAAGTTGTCACTAAAGAGAGGTAGTCGCTTATGAGAGCCTGGTCACACAAATGCAAAGAAATATTTTAATGTGTTTTATATTATCTCTTGTGGATCTCATCTTCACTATTTTTTTCCTCACCTGCATTTCAACACAGTTCTCTGGTGATGTCATCTCAGATGGGATGTATTTTTCATGATTGATCAAGTAATCAAGAACCGATGCGCTTAGTACGGGCTGAGTGTCGAGTATGATTGTTCGTTGTGCTGTGATGTAAATATCTGCTCCAGACGTCTGGTGGCCAGCAAGTTCACGTATATCCGGTGTTTGGGTTTTGAAAATATATGTGCTGAAATTTAGAAGTGCATTAATTAAAAGACATTATTACATAACATATACTGAACTGTTTAAGCAAACTTTTAATATTGATGGTATTAGAAATTAAACATAAAATAAATATACAAATAGTTACTGAATATTGCTCTATTAATAGACAAATAACTACACAAATAAATGTAATGAATTTAAAAATTATATCTACAGTTTACCTTGCCTAAGTCAACTTTGCCTACTCAAATAATAAATTGATCTTATTTGACATGCCAAATTGTGTTTTCCATTAATTAAGGATCTGTAAGTCAAATTTTATCTAAGTTTTCAATGCCACTTTGGATTTCGACGTAGGCAAGTTCAACTGTATTTATAGATACCAACACATCATATAATATAACATTGAGGCTTCGAACAATAACAAAAAATCTTGACACCCAAAACACAGCCACCACGTAACATGCATGAAAGTGTGAACTTATACCTTTCATCATCTGGCTTACATCCGGCAAGAAGAGAAGCAACAGTGGACTTTCCAGAGCCCTGTAGTCCAATAACACCAACCACAAAATATGATCCTTGGTCTAACAGGTACTATAAACAGTAATAATATGATAATCAGAGAAATAGCATATTCAGATTTAGTAAATTTACCTTAGCACTGGATGGATGGATGGATAAACGGACATATTTGATGAAAACACCAAGGATAACCCATGAAATTCTGAGGAAGACTTATTTCCAGTGGGGTCCTTTCTGGTGGTGATTGGGCAGGGCACCAGGAAGCAATCCCCTACTCTTTTCTGAAGAGTGTAATGTGGCCATTAATGCACATGGAACCAACGGCTTTAAACGTTTCATCCGAAAGACTGTGCACGTAACTTGAGTTTTAGCCTTGCAGTTGACCACAAGGAGAGCAGCAATGGGAATTGAACACAGTCGCTACCACCAGCCGACTGAGCTAAGCTGCTTTTCATTAAGAGTTATCAAGCCACATACATTGGACAATTAAGGCTCATAATGTATGGTGGATCCAACCGAAACTAGTTTTAAAAGTTTGGTCTAATGGTTATTATTATAATTATGATAAATTTAAAATCTTGGTTACCTCCATGGCTTGATCACTCCAATGGAACGCCGAGTCAATCAGTTGAACGCTTTGCTTCATTGGTGTCAGTGGAGTTAATCGATGGTGAACAGGAACTGCAACAATAAACATAAAAAATAACATTTATTTACCTGTAAATAGCTGTGAATATAATGCAAAGATAGCAGGTTTTTTTTTATTGGAGGTGACTGCCTTTTATTCTGAGAGTCCTGGGTTCAAATCCTGCTAATCAACACCTTTTCAACCTGACTAAAAACAACTCCCCTACTTAAGCGTCATTGTAAGAAAATTCATTCTGTAATTGGCAAGTTATTTCCTGAGAAATGAAAAGAACAATAATAGTAACTACTAAACGAGCATCACACACAGTTTAAAGCTCCATGCACACTACAAATATAATGTGACAAATATATGTGATATGCCCATATTTGGGTGTAATTATGACATCATCATGCCCATTATATGGGCACATCAAATAAATTTGTCACATCGATAATGTGGACAGAGCATTAATAAGAACTGCAAAGCTAAACTGGTACTAGTAGTCTCTCAAATTACTGGGTCCCTGGCTATATCACAATCAGCCTTTTTGTGTCTACTGCCCCTGAGTAGCTGTAGAAACGTAGCTATCGTCTTGTAATTTTGTAAGAGTAAATCCGGTTGAAGGAATGATGGGATATGGGTCAAAAGCTAAGATAAAAATTTAAAATATTTTTACAAAATATGCTGCCATGCTATATAAAATTCTGTTACAGTTATTCAAGTGAATTGCCATTCACATAAAGCTGCTAGGCACAGTAAGACTTGTCCTAGAAAGAACTAAAATGTCAACAATCTGTTACTTGAATAGTTATTCCTGTGACTTGCCAACAGATAGATTTATATATATACATATGTATATATATATACATATATATTTATATATATACATATATATACATATATATATACATATTTATATATATACATTATGTATATATATATATGTTTATGTATATAAGTATGTATATACGTATATATGTCTATATATTATGTATATATATATGTATGTATATATGTGTGTATATATATATATAAGTATGTATATATGTGTATATATATAAGTATGTATATATGTATATGTGTGTATATA